GAAAAGTTGCGAAGATGTCCAACTTAATTTTACCGAACATTCTAAAGTTTCTACTCTTGTTACTATTGGCTGATACTGTTGTCCCAAACTACTCCGGTAAGTTGGTATAATTGTGTGGTATTGCCGTAAAAAGCCCGCTCAGGCTTCACTCGTAGTGCTAGAACACGTACACTGCACCCAGGCGTTTCTATGACATGACGTGTGATTAATTATAGATTTTTGTTTTATTTTATTGATAAGTATCAATAAATTTGAGAATACCAAGCCCAATGCCTTCAATAATAGTTAAATTTAACTGATCAGTGCTGCATGTTTTCCCCGGATCAGTTTCTTAAAAGAAAGGGGCTGGATCATGCAGTTCTCGTTAATCCTTTTCACTTGTATCATTCCTATATGACGAGAGAGAACAAAATTTAAGAAAATATTTCGACTCTAATTCAAGGTCATTTTTAAACCCAACTATATTACAAGCATATTTATTAACTTAAACAACAGATAAGAATGCTCGCTCCTTAGACCTTACCCTTAGGGTTTTGAGAGACATGCATGTGATGGCTAAATCTGCGACTAAACATATTCATGTCCTAATGATGTTGCTTGAATTTCCTACATGAGACTAGCAGTCATTGTCATTGAGTGTTCTAAACATATAACGGGTAATTTGAAGCGTTATAGTTTTGAGCACTTTTAGTTTTACATCGATATTTTTGCACGGTATTATAATATTTGAAATAATCTGGACCAATGAATATATAAATCTTTAGTTTAATTTAGTTTCACTGAGCCGAACTTTCGTCCAGCCAATGGTGGTCAACCAGCAGGTATCAGAGTAGACCATTGAACTATAAATAAACTGGAAGGCTAACTCAGGGGGGGAATTGAAGCCAGTGTATTTTAGTTTTTCTGAGTTATGAGCGGAAATACTCAACACTGAACGTTCGGCTATATATCAAATTGAAGCTATTGAAAAACGCTATTTGGTGTAGAAGTTTCAAGACTTTAGCTAAAAGGGAAATATTGAAAAATTACAAACATAATTACCGAAAATTTGCCGTTTTGCAGTTGTTTTTGTATTTTTTAAATATTTTTTCTTTTCACTGAAGTCTTGAAATTTCCACACCGAATAGCAATTTTCAATAGCTTCAATTTGATATATAGCCCAACGTTTGGGGTCAAGTATTTCTGCTCATAACTCAGAAAAACTATTTCGGCTTCATCAAATCATAGGCCTTCATCATAGCAGTTAGCCTTCCAGTTTATTTATAGTTCAATGGAGTAGACACGTAAAAACGCACAAGTTGTCACAAATCTGTTTTGAAGCTGCAGACAAATTGTGTTCGCACCATAGAAATATTTCAAACGACGATTTCTGTATATATTCTGTTCAGAACTATTGCTGTTCGTAAAGAAAACCCACTGGAATGATTTTTTCTCCTTTAAAAACTTTTTTTCCACTTCAAGTCTCGATATAATTGTTAATTTGCAAACTTTGTTGAAAAAAAAAATAACTCGCGCACTCGCTGCAACCGCGCGAAATTCCTTGCCGCAGGAGTCTGGGACTAGCCAAAATGCCCTTATAAATCCGCCATTTTGTGGAGACAAAATTTTTACTGAGAAAAAATAGGAGCACGCATTCTATAATCTATGTCTATTATTTCTAAGGTTCGCACTGCTTGTTCCTACAGCGGTTGTATCAAGTTTGGAACAAGCTGTTAACAACTTGTAACAAGCTTGATGGCATTATTAGATTTCGGTTATAAGGTTGTTCTGACAAGTCTGATATGATATAACAAGAATGTTACAAGGTTGACCACACAAGGTTGTAACAATGTCGTTATATAGGGGCTTATATAGGAGCTTCAGTAGCGCAGTCGTCAGAGCAAGCGCAGTTTCACCTCTGAGGTGATTGTGGCTTCGATTCTCGCTACGGACCGTCGTGTGAAAAGCCGCCAGAACGCTCTGCTGAAAGTCGTGGGGTTTTCTCCGGGTGCTCCCTTTTCCTCCCACAAGAAAAGTTAACAGGGTGGGTCAGGATAAACACAGTTAAGCAATTAATATCACAATTGTTGTTTAGATAAAATAGTCTGGAACTCTATAGGCCGTTGTGCGAAAAAGTGCATGGAAAAGCAATTTCGTGGCAACCCCCTGGGGAATAGATTTTCTGTGGTTCAATGCACTGTACCATAGATGCTCAATTACCACAAAAAGTTCCCAAGCAAAAAACTTGCCAAACACCGAGAAAATGGGTGATCAGTGATTATCCTCTATTAGATTGTATTGAGCCAAAAAATGTGAAATTTTGTATTCAATTACAACAAAAATGACTAGCATCATCGGAAAGCTTACAAAAAGCTGGATATAAGACATTTAAACAGTTTTTTATATCTCAAATTGTTTTCGAGTTATACGCTGTCAAAAACGCGTTTTTGACCTAGTACCCAGTCCTTATTGCGACATTTTGGGCCAATTTTCACATTTAATTAAAACAACAATAACTCAAAGACTATTTGAAGGATCAAAAAACTGTTTGAATGTCTTATATGCGGTTTTTGTAAGCTTTCTGATAATGCAAGTCATTTTTGTTGTAATTGAATACAAAATTTCACATTTTCTTGCTGTAATACAATTTAATAGAGGATAATCACTGATTACCCATTTTTTCGGTGTTTGGCAAGTTTTTTGCTTGGGAACTTTTTGTGGTAGTCAAGTATCTATGGTACTATGCATTGAATCACAGAAAATCTATTCCCCAAGGGGTTGCCACGAAGTGAAATAATTTTGGCCCACGGCCTACTAGGCTAAGTATGCAATTATAGGTTAGCGTAATACTTGATGTAAAGCGCATTTGATCATATCCACTTGTAAATTTGCGCCGTATAAAAATGCTAATCGTAATCGTGCTATTTACGTCCGTTATATCATGCCGTATCAGACTCATTGGAACAACCTTGCAACAAGTTTAATAATATCAACAAGGTTGTTACAACTTAACTGATTTTAATGATTTGTCACAATATTGAGTACTATATAACCACATGCACAAACAGACAACTTACATGCAAAAACGACATAGGTGTGACTGGGGAAAGGAACAGGACTTGCGTCCCAATTGACACATGCACCCCTTATATAGACTTTACTGTTTATTGCACTCCAATCCCATTTGGCCTCGGTTCGGTGTGTTCGTGTCAATGCGAACTATTTTTACGAGATTTTAGGCGTGTAATGCAGGTATCAAAATAATTATATGCAGTTGTCTTGCACCTGGAGGAATTAAAGCAAATATAATTAAGAAATATAGTTTAATTTTCTTGTTCCTATAAGTTTCAACATTCAGTCTTACTGAAACCCAGCAATAATATACCTGATTCTTTTGTTGTAGGGCCACAAAGAGAAGTGGTGTCAATATACAATGATGACTTTACCACCCCGGTATCCAGACCTCAATATTTCATCCACGTTTATCGCTGTGTTAAAGTTGAAATTGGCGAGTGCAGACCAGGCCGGCATGAGTATCCCGTGCCAAACCAAACGGAAGAAATTGAGATACTAATTCCAGATCTTACAAACAAACATCGGGATCCTAACAATGAAAATAAGTTTTATAAATATGTAGTTTATAATCACACGTCTTGCCAATGTGGGAATTTAGAGGACAGGAAGAGGACACTCAATAAAATCATAACAAATAACAAAGGTTAGTCCAGCTTACCCGCGTGTATAAAAATACCAACCTAACATGCATGTTTTCTGATGAAATTAGTCAACCCATCATAAAACCTGTTCTTATACATTGATGACAATATAATCAGGGGAACACGGGAGCTCTTCCCTCATTACATAGTAGTTAAACCTGCAGCTGAATGCCAAGGTTAGCGGGTATTGTTGGGTATTATTAGCAAACCAAAAGCAAGAACTAATTATGGAAAATTTACATTTCAATTCTCTTCATCTAAAATATGGGAATCAGTAGATTAAAAAATAAAAAAATCTAGCTCATCCTATCTGTTTAAGAAACACTATAAGCAGGGACGCCGGAACTGGGGGGGGGGGCGGCTGCCCCCCTTGCCTTTTGCTAAGGGGGGCAGGGGGGGCAGAAGTGCCCTTTTAGTTGTAAAATTATACGTGATAAATCACATTTCCAACGATGCTTTTTGTAGGAAATTTATAGTTTATATTTATAAAAATTTTGGGAAATTTTTGGAATTTAGAAAAATATTTTGAAGAAATGGCGAAAATTTAAGATATCCGGAAAAATTTTTGGCTTCACGGAAAATTTTTGTATGTCCGGAAAAAATTTTTGACCCCTAAAATGGTACACTGACCGAAATTTTTTTGGCGACGGGGGGGGGGACGTCGCCAAAAAATTTTCCAGTGAAAAAAAAATTTTCAGTAAAGGTGCCCTTGGTGTGCGTCCGCCCCCCCTTTGCCCTATTATCGTTCCGGCGTCCCTGACTATAAGCAATCGCCGGCTCCTATTAACTCAAATGTAATTATAGAGTATATACAGTTGTGAATTCGTCTAGCGCCGCTCCGTTCTCATTAGTAACAGATCGTAGGCGGCAGTGGATGACCCGAAAGCATTATGCTACTTTGTCCACTTAATTATTAACTCCAATTTATATCTACTACTCACCATAACCTTATTGCTCTTCACTTTTGTAAATAACCTATATGACGTGCGCAACTTCAGTAAAAAAAATTATAGTCACTTGATGAGCATCCCTCGTCTGACTTCAGTCATGCATGTGCTTGAAGAGTTGTAATTGGTTCACTCCTGTGCCTCTGGGGATTTTCAACGGGATTTCTGCCCCTTGTTTTTCTCTCTCTCAAAAAAACTAACCCTTAGCTGTGTTACGTGATCAAACATGAGTCTTAGTAAGCCTTCAACTCGATGATGTTCCAGTTGCGCCCTTTGTTATTCAGCTTTTTTGGCTGTATAGAAAAAATTATTAGCACCCCCTATATTTAACTTTAATCTTTGTCTATTTTTCTTGCAGTGACAAAAAATTATTTTAAAGCAAACTATTCGAACAATCCAGTCAATCTGCTAAACCAGTGTGAAGTTTGCAAGAATCCTCAACCAAGATATAAACTCAATTCAAAGCATGGCTCTTCTACCCCGCCATTTAAATATTTATCGTACCAACAGTGCTTGCCTGGCTGTGTTGTGGAAAAGAACAAGATATTTAAAGTTAAAATTACCTTTACAAGTACTGATGAACACAAGATTGTCGAGCTTACAAATTATATTTTATGCAAGCCATATGATGGAGGAAGCGATAAAACACAACAACTCTCAAAAGCTGGGAATCAATCCCGCTCAGAAGATCCTGTTAGAAACTCTCTTGATCAAGGTAAGAAATCAAGGGTCTGATTTATGGAGACGAATGATCCTTCAAGATAAAATTAGGCAAAGAAAACTACACACGTATTAAAACGCACAAGTTGTTACAGATCTACCAACAAGTTGTTACAAATCTGTTCACAAGCTGTCTACAAGTTGTGTTCGCACTGCTTGCATGTTCCCAGTTGTTGTAACAAGTTTGGAACAAGCTGTTAACAACTTGTGACAAGCTTGATGGCATTATCAGACTTGTTACAAAGTTGCTCTAACAAGTCTGATACCGGCTGATTCAGTCATGATAAAACATGACGTAACAAGAATGTTACAACGAATCTTGTTATATCATGACGGTATCGGACTTGTTGGAGTCTGATAATCAACAAAGTTGTTACAAGTTGTTAACAGCTTGTTCCAAACTTGTTGACAACTTGGGACAAGCAGTAGGAACACAACTTGTTGACGGCTTGCTGGCAGACTTGCTAGAAGATTTTTACGCGTGTAGACAGTTTGTCTGATAATTCATGGTCTATCAAGATATTATTTTGGTCTGACAAACTAAACAGAAGTCATTGTGTTATAGTTTTGTTAGAGTTTATGTTAATTTGTGCACGATCACGGTAATTGAACTCAGTGTATTTTCGTATCATGAAGTAATATAAATCGTCCAATAAGGGTAGCTGAGATAAAACGTGCAACCACGATAAATAATATTTAATAAAGTTGAGAGAAAGTTGAGACAAAGGAGGCCAAACAAACTATCTAAGTTTGCCAGGACCATCAAATTTCGACAGACATGAATAATTTAACTCGCGGCAAACAAATCGATCACCCATCAAGACATTTCTGCGTAATTCATTAAAACTCAGACGATCTTCCGCATAGTTCATCTTAATGAATGATTCTCTTGTTTGCTGTGTTTGTACACGGATAAATCATAAATGATCACAAATCATCTAAAATAAGCTGAACTTCCAGCTAGGGCAATTCATAAACCTAATCATTAGAAATACGTTTCTGGGTTGTATGGCCTCTGCGTTGTGTGGGCGGGGGGCTGGGCAAGTTTAAGAGAGGAGAGTCGCATTGGCGAGATATGGCGTTTTAGAGATAAGGGATTGAGAATAATATAGGAGATATATGAGGATTTGCGCTATGGAGAATTGATGAATTACTCTGACAGGAATTATTATATGTTTCTCTTTAGAGCCAAATTCACATGAGATTCTAGTTTACATTGGTTCAGGAAAAACTATCCTCGCCGCTTTTCTACTGTCGTTGGGGCTATTTACTATATTAATTATGGACTTTACACTTTGCCGTCGAAAGAAAGGATTTCTTTATGCTTTGGTCGGCTGTAAAAATGATGACGTGGAACACAGTTATCTACGTTGCAGCCAAAGGACACTTCACGAAATATGGGGGGGGGGGGTGGATTTTGATTGGCAACATATGACTACCTTTTGTATTTGGAAACGCTACTGTCAGAACTGAAACATGAACTAACTGCATGTCGATGCCAATCTATAATATAATTTGATATATTCAGTTATCTTGTATTATTATTTACTATAAGTAGCAGCACTAGTTTTTTATATACCACTTAATATAGATTTTCACCAATGTATGTCACATAGATTAGTTTATGCCGTGCACTTTTAACATGAGCCACTGCATGGATCGGATGAATATGGGCAATTATGTACGTACATCGCGTGCTTAGGACGTTAAATAAATTATCAGTACATTGCATTGAACATATCGATTTCGAGTTCTAGTATAATTGTACAATTATTATTAAACAAAAAAATTATGTACACGTGGTTCATTAACTCAAACGATCTTCCGCATGGTTCAGAGACGAATCGACTTCATCCAAGTCAAACGATATACTCAATATACCATTGGCCGTAGTTGTCGTTATATGGTCATGCAAATACTATCATGATATTATTTCGTGATGTGTAGATAGCTTTTTAAAAACCGAAAACAGTTCTTTTCAGTGATTTCTAGCTTATTTTAACATGTTTTTTTAATGTTAATTAAAATTGAAATTGTGCATATTTTTGTAATGTTCGTGATTTTGTATCGATATCAAGCACTTTAAGAGGCAATTTTTTTCAATGTCACGTATTTGCAATGAAAAGTGTTCAAAACCTAAAATCTTTTTGGCGTTCCTCTCAAAATTACTTTGTTTTATCTTTATTCTCTAGTAGTCCGTGTGTTGTGACCTCGAAAAGTGCCTAGAAAACGATTTTCATTAAGCATGTCTTAGATCTGAAATATTTTTACGGGAACTAACACTTTCGAACACGCTGAGTTCAAATCCGAAAAGTTCCCACTCCGTAGACCCGCAGTTTTTTCACAAAATGCTATTTTATCTTCACTAATTTCACAACAAATTTTTTCATTGTTCAACGATACGGATCGATGACGATACACGATTATGTCACTCAAAAGGACCAATTTCTATTAACCATTCTTCCTTTTAACAAAAGACCGGTTTCGCTCGAATCATTTTGAGTTATGTAATCTTATGCGTGTTGGACGTAAACAACATATCTTGTCTACAACTTTGAGAAGGTACAGATAATTCCTTCTAATATCCTTAGTTCTGGATCTATTTCTATAAAATCACAAGGACGTTAATGTTAAGTCTTTGGGCTATGTCTCTGGGCTGAGAAATAATTCCTTACATGCGATCAAAATGTTTTATACAAAGATATAAAACGGTAATCTATATGTAATGGATCAGCACTGAAATTTCCAACACGGTTTCCAAGACGTAATTCAAGAGATAACTTATCATTGCATTTGAACTATTACATCAGTTGGTGTTATACTGTGCGATAAGCGAGTATTATTGGAAAGAGGGCTTCTATATACGTCGAAATCATCAAATAAACAGCTCATGCACACATTTCTCCACTTCGCGGTAAGTTTACAGAGCGTATTTTATACTTTGTGACTGATCTTTGTCTTTGATGTGAACATTTATTCTTATAGTTTAAGGTTATTTAAGATTGATCCTGTCGTAAGTCTTCTACCTGCAACCATTCGACAATATTTCGTTTTAGCGTTATCTTTGCCGTTACGTTGGCTTCGCGTTACTTTTGTTTTAAATATCTTGATCGCGTTAAAAGAGTTATTTTTCAGGCCAGTGACATAGCTAAAAGACTTGACATTAACGTCATTGTGATTTTAAAGAGATATCTCTAGAACTGAGGATTTTAGAAAGCGTTATCTGTACCTTCTCAAAGTTATAGACAAGATATGTTGTTTACGTCCAACACGCATAAGATTACATAACTCAAAATGATTCGAGCAAAACCGATCTTTTGTTAAAAGGAAGAATGGTTAATAGAAATTGGTCCTTTTGAGTGACATAATCGTGTATCGTCATCGATCCGTATCGTTGAACAATGAAAAAATTTGTTGTGAAATTAGTGAAGATAAAATAGCATTTTGTGAAAAAACTGCGGGTCTACGGAGTGGGAACTTTTCGGATTTGAAATCAGCGTGTTCGAAAGTGTTAGTTCCCGTAAAAATATTTCAGATCTAAGACATGCTTAATGAAAGTGAACGATATCGGGTCACAACACACGGACTAAAAAGCAAGAAGTTATAAGCATTGAAGGAGAATTAGAATATTTAGCTGACATTCGACTTTGTGCAAGGTTTTTGATATTCAAATTGCACTTTTCAGTCTTTTCCTGCATCCTGAACAGGCGTAATAGCAATCTCGTACCCAGAGTTAGGTCATGCCCAGCACCTAACCTGCGAACGGGCATACTCTGGGCTGTTTACAAGATGGAAGGTGGGATGATTTTGATGTATTGAAATAAGTCACTAGGCTAAACGAAAGTTCAAAAGCTGGTTAACCAAACTCAAATGTTGTAGAGAAGATCATGTAGTCCAAGAACATTTTTATAGTTTTTTGAACAACCTTTCGTTTACAGTTAACTATACTGAATCCATCCGTCTAGAAAATGAAGTTTTTTGCTGAATTATGCATCGTGACTTATTCCAATATATCGAAATCATCCCGCCTCATATCTCGTCCTGGCAAAGCGGGATCATATAAACAGCCCCCTATTCAGCAAATTGCGATGCTGCCTTGCCTTTGATCCCTTGGGGGTGAGGCAGCACTTTCCTTGCGATAGTAACTTCTAGTCCTATAATTTATTGTTAGCAAGTGATTACTGTGGCCACAGGAGTCCAACTAAGAGCTGTGTTATGAGTATGAATAAAACATTAATAAATCGTAATATGAATAAAACATCATAACGTAATATATTTAAATTATTGCACTTACTTGTTTAAATCATAAGAGCTTGTATTTCCAGTGAATATCTTCAAACAGGGCGCTTATATATGTTCAGAAACATTGCTTCAAACCATTGTTCAAATATGGCGAATAAATTGACAAAACGAAAATATTACATGACGTTCCAACGAAAATAACAGCAAGGATCTCTACTGTTATTTTCGATGGAACGTCATGTAATATTTTCGTTTTGTCAATTTATTCGCCATATTTGAACAATCTTTCGAAGCAATGTTTCTGAACATATATAAGCACAGGCGGCCCAATTTCGCAAGGGTCAGTATAGACTTATAGTATAAATGTATATTATATTAATGTATATTATAGTAAAAATATGTTGTAAAATATAAATTTTAAAATGAAATTGACTTGCCTATTTGATAGTGTGTGTTCTCCCTTTATTTCCTCCTTTGTTGGACTAATATTTTCCGAGACTTTGTACTCGATGTTACTAGTATACATGATATTGGGTCCCTTTCTCTTCTCTGTATATATCAATTAATGACTTACCTAGCTATGTATCATCCTCTACTGGGGTCGGACTGTTTGCTGACGACACCAAGCTGTATCGTTGCATAAAGAATCCTTCTGATGCCCTGGTCTTGCAAGAGGATAGGATGTTGGTCAAATGAAAACCACCTTCATTTCAATCAATCCAAGTGCAAGGTACTCTCTATAACCAGAAAAACATCACCTTTGGTTTCTCCAT